CGAAACGAACGACACAAATCTACCTCAGAAAAAATGCGGACTGCGATTAGCAAGTCGAAGAATGCGAAATTCGACCGTTCTTGGAAGCTTCAACACGACAATTACGGCCCGTTTCTTCAGCTACTACTTAGAGACTGCTTCTGACGCTTACTCAGAGCTTCTGGGTCCGCTGTCAAAAGCTTATCAGTACAAAAAACAACCGCTTAAGGCGCAAACTTAGTGAATAACGTCGCCAGATTATTCAACGAGGCTATAACATAACCAGCGTGAAAACGATGATGGTTGTCGCAAGGTGGAAACATTTGTAATAAATTTTTATTTATTAGTCTTACTATGTCGAAAGAATATGCTAAAACCATCGCATACAAAATTGCTGCCTGTTAGAACTAATTAACACGATCGGTTAAGATATTACTGAGAGTTCCGCGGCTACCATTTATTAAAAATGACAAAAATGATTTTTTTTAATGCGCAAGCGCTCGACGTAACCGATCTGGCTGCTGCTACCAAATCTGACCTAGTTGTTTAATTCGGCAAAAGCGGGTCAAGATCGAATTAGTTGGACATATATCAACAGAAAGAACCGTAAAATTCTGTTACGAACCAAAAACAGTGATAATAAAAAATAGAACTTTCAAGAAAAATTTACGTAGGGCGTAAACGTTATACCTCAAAGGCCTGAACAGAGGGGCTCGTATCCATTTCATGCACTAATGCCTCAAGAAACGATTATGGCAAACGCTTTTCAAAATGCTACCCTCTCTCTGAACAGAAAATTCGCAAGATGGACGGAAGGTCTTCTCAATATTCAATGAACACTGTGGAATGAAATTAAAAGAAAATGACATATTCATCACGAAAACCTGAAAAGTTTCCCTGCATACCGTCGCTCATCAGAAATCCCTGCATAGCTTGCACAAATTTGCTTATTAGTATTGCATTTGTAATTTTTATCATTAAAGTATCTTAATACTATGGCAAACGAGACTTCAGTCAGAAGGTCATAAATAGTAAGGAAACTTTCGCTTGTCGGTTATCATCAAGGTGCATAACTCAACAGCTGTTGCGCAATAATGTCGAATCTAAATACAGATATCCATCGAGTGAAAAAATTTTCCACATATTTCAAATGGTTGAATTGGGGTTCGCGTTTCTGAGCGGTTGCAATTCTTATGTACTTTGAGGCTTTAGCCCTGCACTCACAACAAGAAATACATCCTTCTGTGAATAAATTCGTACAGCAGATAACAAGGGATGAACAATTCAGTAATTTTGACATAACAATCAACGCTTAAACTTATGCAGGAAGCACTCGATGTTCAACTACGCTCACTGTAAAACGTATCTTTAACTGTATATTAAAAAGCATACAGAAAAACGATTCCAACTGCTTTTAGCAGAATAAGTAAGAACGGGTCGATCATCTCAAATCTGACGTTTATGTAAATAGGCCGGCTTTGCAAATCCAGCATGACATAACCTTCTACTTGCTTCCTTCCTCTCCGGAACAGTCTGAATTTAAATATCCGAAAGAAATCTATTTCGAAATGTATCCAAGAAGCGTACTTGTGACCATCAAACTACTTCGATTTCAACACCAAGGAATCACAAGCTGGGAGATTAAGCATTCTTCTTTTTCCTACCGTGTTCCATTTAAAAGGGATCAGTGGTCCGATTTCGAGCTATGCTTTCGCATTTTTCCGGTCTTTGGCTAAACCTACGGTCACTCCTCGCAGTTTCGTGTCATTTTTTACAACATCGTGAAACCGTGTTTTCGGTCCTCCCCTTCTTTTCTTCGCTGGTACAGTCAAAGAAGAATGCTTTCGATCAGAGTTTCCGAAATCGGTCACCTTTAAAGTGCCTCTTTTGAAAGTGTTCCACATGTGGACATTTTTGTTGACACCATACATTCATCCAAGCATTCGCATTTCCACTAAATTCGGATGATACTTGTGTCACTACAGGAAAACCGAACATTCCGTTTCGAAAAGAACTACCGACCTGACTCTGACTCAGTACATGTTTTCCTTCAGTTTTCTATGTCCATCTACTCATCGATTTAAGCCATGCTTTCATTTGACCAATTTCTTAATTCATTGTCGATTTCATCATTGTCTTGAAGGACAGGACCAACACATTTGAATTTTTGAGTTTGCAGCAGGATGCTATGCGCAAGTTCCACTGGTTCCTTGATATTCACTTTGTTCCCTCTACCGAAATAGCCCACCATGTATTCTGATTTGCCTTTGCTGAGCCGAAGGGCGTTTTTCTCAAAGAAACTTCCCCATACTTGAGATTTTGGTTCTACCTATTCCTTGCTTTCACTGCTGGGCACTATGTCAACGGCATGGAGTAGCATGTATGGAACGCAGTATGGAACTACTTCTAACAGTTCTTTAGCTAATGCGCCTGTCGCCGTCGAGAACAAAACTTGGCTCAGTGTTGAACGTTGATGGATTCTCGTCCGCACAGGGAATTCATCTGTTTTATCGCATCTACTTGGAACTGTCACTGTCACTCTTATCGTACATGTCCTTGGTAATCCTAAAACGATTTTCTGGCACCAGCCTCTTTTTCATGCTCCAGCAAACTGTCGTTGTTATTTGATCGAAAGCTTTCTATTCGTATATGAACACTTCAGGAATGTCCTGATCTTGTAACAAACATGGCATCGATAATTAACTGCCCAGGCACAAAGCCCAGTTAGTTCATGGGGATATTGACCTCGGTTTTTTATCCAACACCCTTTCAAATACCACTATGGTGTGGCTGAGTAGATTAATTTCCTGAAGCTGGACATTTAAGCAGAAAATATTAATTGACCTTCGTACAAATTTGTCCGTTTTCATTTCGAAGCGGGTACAGGAAGCAAATATGATATGTACGAAATACATCTGTGAAATAAGGTTTAAGGCGTATATTAATTTATT